CAAGGTTTTGGGGACAATCATCGGTAATTTACCTGGAGCAATGTCTCTGTGGGAAATAGGAGCTCACTGATGGTTTCACAATCTTCACACATAAAGCTTGCAGCAAGATAAAGTGGTTTATAGGCCTGGAGTGTGCCTTTGCCTCCTTACTTTAGCATCTGTACTACAGTAATGTCTACAGCAACTGATATATATTACCACTAATTCAGTTCTATTCAGCACACTAATGCCTGACACTCACAGGGACATCATCAGCAGAGACAGAGTACCCTTGTAAGGAGATGCGTTCAAGAAAGGTGGCTCACCAATGTACTTTTAACACTATGTGGTCCATTTAGGAAGATATATTTTTATCTCTCCAACATTGCTGATCGAGGTTTAGAAAAATCTCATGTGATCACTCTAAGGCTGTGACTGTTCCCATCTTTTAAGGAAAAATTCATCAATAATATTTAGGACGCCCTACTGAGGGCCTGACACAGTTCCAAAGATTCATCTCACCAGGAGGTCTTGGAGATGAGCTCCACTATTCATTCACTTCATGTGTGGTAGGGTGTAGGGTTTGTTTATGGCTGGCAAATTACTTCTTTATTTTACGGTACTTGTCTCTTGTTTAATTCCTTAACAAACATGTTATTTTTGCTTAAGAAAATAGAAAATAAAACAAAACCTAATTATTTGATACATGTGATAAATAGCTAGCCCATATACTTGGTTAGTATATTAATATACATTAACATACATTCTGATATCATTTATGGGAATGCAGCTTTCTAAAAATGCCATCCACATATTAAATGAATATATTTATATAGGCACAATGCTCACTTACATAAGTACTGTTGTTATACCAGCAGGGTTATTCACTTAAGTGAGAATTCAAAGTGAATTTCAAATTAAGCTAGAATGTTAGTCCAGTTTGAGAATTCAAAGCCAAAATAGTCACTTTTTTGGTAATTCTTTATTTTTGCGGGTAGGCTTATGCATTGCATTACATCTTGTGATGAAAAGGTATCAGACAAACAAAAAAAATATATACATGTTAGCATGAACAACAACACAGGTAATGTGTAAACCCTTTTTAAATTTTGGTCACGCTTAAATCCCTCATATCTGAGCCATGTGTAGTTATGCTATGGAATAGAGGTTGCTTGCTAATAACGAAGCACACCAGATTTGTTAACAATAAGGGTTATGTCAGAAAATATCTAAACTTAAGGCGCAGATAGTTGAAAAATAAAGCTCGATCAGTAGAGCTGTCCATAACCTACGACCCTCTTGTGGTTATCTGGTGACCGGATAGGCCGGCTTCTGAATGTGCCGTATATTGCTCATAGAATTGAAAGGGAGTAGTGCACATTCCTATAAAAAAAAGGGGGGAGGGGGAAGGGTTTATCTAGGCAATTTGTCTGGCTATCAGCTTACAGAACCAGGCAAGAGGGTGCGAGCTATGTTACAATATAAACTTATCAGTCAAATTGTGAACTAATCAGAAGAATAAAACCAAAACATAGTTAAATAAAACATTGAGTTGCAGCGCAGATATCAACAGCCGTTGATTTCAGGTAGGTGAATCTGATGTATAGAACAGAAGAAAGGGATCAGCGCTGTCTATCTATACAAAATACAACAGAAACAATAATAAATAAGTAAAAAGTGTCAGCACACCTAAAAAGTAGGGCTCCCTCACAGGCCTTACAACAGAAATGGTACAGAAAAAAGAAAGGAAGGCAGCGCCACTACAAACCACATAAATTAAAAGAGTACAGAATAGGCAGACTAGAATGCAATATATATGATAGATAATAAGCAAATAGAAGTCCAGAATAAATAGTCTGACTGGTAGATGAATCAAACAACGAGGTATATCTTTGTAGAGGGGAATACAGTCTTTTGTAGTGGGGGATTCTTCAGAGTGGTCTAGATGCGTCTTTGTACATCATATGAAATGAGAAAATAACAACTGATGGTATAGTATGTCCCGAAGGAGGTAGAAGCAATAAAAGAGTATATGGTCCTACTCACGTTTTCAAGAGCTATGGACTTAGCTCTAGTGTTGATAACGTACAGTGGTATAATCCCCACTTAGGGCATACGTGAGGTCTTAGTATTCTTTCTTGATTAGGGAACCATATGTGGAAATAAAAGCGGGAACAACAATGGTGCTCAAAGTATAAAATGCCAGAGGTGAGAAGATAAAAAAACAAGTGGTTACTCACATTTAGTTGAACAGACTAACTGTTCAATGAATACAGCTTGAGTGGTATAATCCCCACCTAGGATTCTTGGGAGTAATATCCTCACTGGAAAGTAAAAACACTTCTGATGCCGGATAAAAGGATGGTAGTAGTAAAAAAGTAAAATGATAATAGTAATAAAAAGTAAGGTGAATCGGATGTACTTGGTTCCGGTCCCCTAGGGAAGAAGGGCTTGATATTGGCAACAGTCTATGATGAGCAAGTTTCTGCTGAGATAGCTTCCGCCGATATGCCCAGAGACCTGAGGAAAGTTGGAACCTCGGTTAGAGGGTGCGTCTTGCCATCTTTATCCACTAGCAATCAGCGTTGACCCCATTTATAGGGAAAGAGTTCTCGCAGAGCTGCTTTGTGATCTGCAGGGAAGATCTACTCCAAGTCAGGATGTGCCTGAAGAAGTCTTTGAAGAATACTTGGTGTGCCCCCTCAAATGGAACCGTGGAAGAACCTCTTGCGGCTCCCATAAGGACCCCCCTGATCAGAATCCAGAACAAACTTGATGAGCACATCACGAGAAGCTTCCTTGAGTGCTTTGTTTGCCTTGGGGAGGTGAGAACAGGAATCAACTCCCAGCTGTTTCACTTGTTCAGGCAGTAGTAGAGTGGCTATAAGCATTTGGCAATAGTGGGTTAATTCAGCATTGGTAACTGATTAGGGCACCCCTCGGATACTCATATTTCATGCCTTGGCCCTATCCTCCATGTTAGCTAATCGTGCTATCAGGGAGCTGCATTGCTTCTGCAGCGAACCCAGGGCAGCATCTGTGGCCGTTTGAGCCACACTGGTGCCTTTGGCGCTATCTTTGACCATCGCCACCCAGCTGGTGAGCGTGGAAACTTCCTCCTGTACAAGCTCCATTTCTGCATGGAACATGGCTTGAATGTCCTTCATCAGTGCCTTTATGTTGGCTTTTGTGGAGGGAGCAGTCTCCTAGCTCCAAGGGTATTATAGGCTTCGTTCCTTTCTGTGAGGTTGCAGGTAAGTTGGCTGGTGGGCTGTCATCTGATGAGGTTGATGTATAGGCCTCAGCTGGTGCCATCAGGCCGCATGGCTGTGCGCATAAAAGCCACAATATCTTGGTATCCCGGACTGGGGTCTGCTCGATATTTCTTTGCCTTCTTCCCCATGGCGTAGGGTATTCAGGGAGCCATTTGAGACTTGGTAAGTGTGCCTCTTTTGCCAGAAATCAGCAGTTAGCAGGTTAACCATGCGGAACTGCTGCAAGAGTTCTGCTCTCTCAGGCACTGGCTCCGCCCCTCCAAAATAGTCACTTTAATGAAAGACCCTGCAGGTATCCATACAATCCATGGAGTTGCATGCTGCTTTTGCCCCTGTAGGATGCTTCATGTTCTTAGAAACCTCTCTACCTGCTACCTGAATGATGCCATAAAAAATTGACCTATAAAGTTACTGTAGAGTTTGGGAAAAGGGAGGGACGGCACCATTACATCCCCTCAAGAAAGGGACGCAGAGAACAGAGCCCTGGTAAAGAAATTAGGAACAAAAAATATGATTGATACAAGGTGGAACGTGAGCTTGGCTGCATGGATTGTGTTGCGTTTTGTTTTGCTTTGCTATGGAAACAAAAATTGTTATGAGATAAGGGAACACCAAAATACTCTTTTCTTTCAGTGGGAGGACCAGCGTGCAACAAGCAATTTGCTATGATTACTAGGCATGTGCATGGGGAAAATTTTCGGTTCGGTTCGGCTCGGCATTCTGAAATTCGGGACTTTCGCAATTCGGCACTCCGACACTTTGACACTCCGACATTTTGGCACTTTGGCACTTCGGAATTTCGGGACTTCGGCACTTTGGGACTTCTCTTGCAGCCGCTTAGTAGATAACTCCATAATTCCCACGGTATTAGGGAGTTATCTACCAAAAGGCTGAAAGACCTAAATTGGTCTTTCAGACAAATGTACTAATACTAAGTAAAAATTACTTAGTATTAGTAAATTTTGCCCCTACTTGCTAGACCGAGAGTAGGGGCATGTCTATTAAACTGAGCGGCGGGTGGGGGCCCTAAAGTAAAATGATGGGGGGGACCTATTGTCCCCCCAGCCCCCACCCCTGAGCGGTGGGTGGGGGCCCTAAATACTAATAAGGCTAATGACCTAATGTCCTCTGCCCTGGGTGGGGGCCCTAAATTAGAATAAGGGGGGACCTAATGTCCTCACCCCTGGCCCCCACCCCTGAGCGGTGGGTGGGGGCCCTAAATACTAATAAGGGGGGGACCTAATGTCCTCCCCCCCTGCCCCCACCCCTGAGCGGTGGATGGGGGCTCTAAATACCAATGGGGGGGACCTATGTCCTCCTCCCCCGGCTCCTACCCCTGAGCGGCGGGTGGGGGCCCTAAATAAAAATTTTACCCCCCCAGGAGACTATGGGCCCCAAAACCCCTAGTCATCCCCCCTCCAAAAAAAATTAACCCCTACCTACCCCCCTCATCCTAAAAATAATGAGGGGGTGGACATTTAACTATGTACCTGTAAAAAAAAAAAATAATCAAACTTACCATTTGATGTTTTCTTTCTTCTAAAATCTTATTTTTTTTCAGCCCCAAAAAAGGCCAACTAAAAAATCCATAATAACGACACACTTAAAAAAACAACAACAAAAAAACAGAGCGCAAAAAATAATAATCCAGGGGGCGTGGCTAGCATCCGGACTGAATGGCCACACACTGAATCAGTTCCGAGCTACAAGGGCTGAAATCGTCTGCACCGGAAGACCTCAAACGAAATGGGGAACAACAAAAAGCAGCAGACCACTCACCCACAACCGTGGAAGACTCCGGCGGTAAAACCGGGATCGGTAACCTGCCTGTTGAAGGAATACGCCGACCGCGTTTCTGATCACGGAGATCCAAATATGGCGCCGACAGTGGCCCATACGGACTCTCAACCACAAAGCCCTGCCACATCAGAAAGCTCCACAGACTCCAAAGCCATTGACATCAGGGAGATATTGAAAAACCTGCCTTCCAAATGCTGGGAAAACTAGAAATCACATTCCAAAACAAAATGGAGAAACTCAGCTCTGAAATCAAACAGGTAGGCCACGGGGTGCAAGACCTAGAGGATGAGAGGGGGGGATCTTATCAAACACAGATACAAGATCTAGCCTCCAAAGTTGATACCCAAGACAGACATCTCTCCATGATGCAAAGGTCACTAGATGACCTAGATAAAAGGAAGGAGAAATAATCTTCGCATAAGGGGGCTCCAGGAGACAGACAATGAAAATCTAACTAATCAACTAACTACCCTCTTCAACTCAATCCTAGGCCGCCCACCAGATACACAGATAATCCTTGACAGAGCACACAGATCTCTGAGACCAAAAAATGGGGTAGGTGACACGCCACGCAACGTTTTATGCCGCATCTATTACTTCTCGCTCAAGGAAGAAATCCTGAGAAAATTAAGAGACACCTCTACCCCAGTGCTGTACCATGGCCAGGAAATTCAAATATACCCAGACCTCTCCTGGCTTACTTTGCAGGCACGAAGAGCCTTAAGACCCATTACAGACCAGCTAAGGATTCGCAATATACAATACAGGTGGGGTTTCCCATTTGCCCTAATTGTCAGCACCAGAGGATCCACATTCACAATCTCTACACATCAAGATCCATTCATCAGGGCACTAGACCTGAAAGAATCTCCCATCATGGACTGGTATGCGCCAGACCCAGCTACCTCCCGCAATAAACCCCAACAAAGACAGGGATGGCAATCACCAATGAAGAAACAGCGAACCGGACAAGTTAGCCCCCAACAACGAAGAGAGAGACGCACCAGGGGGGACATGGAGGATTAAACCACATGCAAACACCACACCCAGATGGAAGGCTCAACCCGCACACCACTAAAGGAGAATTACCCTCACCCGATGAAATAAAGGCACATACGTCAATAGAAGAAAACATGGTGAACTCACACGCATCCATGCACTCCACACACTCCACAGTTAACCCCAACGTAATAGACATAGGACTGTCTAACAGGCAACTTAACCGGGACTTCACAAACCGAGCCATGACCTTAAAGAGCAATCCTGATCTCAAGAACACCCTGTTGGACTCTCAATTCCAGGTCGTATGATCAGCAATGTAATTGAATGTATGCAGTTACATCACACACACATACTCCACACAATTAGGTAGACCAACCCTCACACCTGAGTACCCGCACAGATGCAGGAACTGACAAAGTGCACAAAGCCACACAACAACAGTTTTGACAAGGTAAACTCCAATAAAACCACAGTTTGTACTACACTTAAAATGAAAATGTGAAGACAACCCGCATCAAGGTATTAAATATAAAAAAAAAAAAAATCAATAACTCTGTTAACTACTCCCCCTGCCATCTGGGATAAGGTTTTAAACATGTACCCCCTCCAGTCCCACTACACACCCCCATATACTAAAAATCAACACCACGCTCCAATACACTAGAACACCGCTAAAAGATTTCAGCCCGCAAGCTCCTCCCGAGAAACATACCAAGAAACAAACTAGCCACTGATACAGACGATACTAGTTAATCACTAAATAACCCGTAACTTGACACGCACCATACACACAACAAAAACAGTACTACCTTCAAACCACTCCACACATACCCCAACCCACCACTATCAACGGTGTCACGACACACTGGCCACCTGCAGACTCAGGGACATCTCAGAGGCCGACACTAGTTACAATAGTTGCACACGCGCAACTATCAACAGTTATCAAAGGTATACATCTGTTGACTTAAGATTAGAACTAACAAACTGTAAATAGTTAATTGTTTATTAACAATACTAATGTTTTCTGTGAACCCTGTGTATTTGAACTAAGCGATCTTACTTACAAACGCCTATTGCTGTGCATACGGTTTCTTGAAATACAAAAAGCTCAAAGCACAATTGAATCAGACCACTAACTGAACGAACCTAATCATACCCCAGCCATGAGCGCACCCGAGGTGAGGGCCACCATAACCATCATCTCCCACAATGCTAGGGGCCTAAATACCGCAGAGAAACGCCACATGGCACTCTCAGACTACCACAGACGTAAGGCTGATGTAGTATTTATACAGGAGACGCACTTTCGTAAAGACTCGGCCCCCTCACTCAGGTCTAGAACCTTCACCAAAGGCTGCTTTAGCAATTACTTAGAAGCTAAATCAAGAGGGGTTGCTATCCTCATATCTTCTCACCTTCCATATACGCACAAAGACCTCCTGACAGACGACAATGGTAGATTTCTATTCCTCAAAGGACTAATAGGACACACACACGTCACTTTTGCAAACATATATCTCCCCAATAGGAAACAAACTTCCGCCTTACGCAAAATATTAAGCAAACTAGATCCCTTCCAGGAGGGCCTATTAATAATAGGGGGGGACTTTAACATCTCACTGGATGGGATGCTTGATACCACCTCACAGACCCAAACGTATCAAGCCTCATCAACAACACACATCCAGAAACTATTAGACTCATACCAACTGTACGATGGTTAGCGAATACTCAACCCAGCAAAACGCGACTACTCATTCTACTCCCACTCCTCAGGCACATACTCCAGAATTGACATGTTTCTCATTCCCCATAGATTCTTAAACCTCATCAAAACATGTGAATACGCCACGATCACTTGGTCAGATCACGCCCCGATCTCAATGACCATCACCATTCCATCGTTACATCCAAATAGATCACAATGGAAATTAAATGACACTCTATTGAACAATCTGGAGATACAAACACGAATCAAGGAAGGTCTAACTCAATATTTTGACCAGAACACAAATCCGGAAACTCCATACCTGATTGTATGGGAGGCCCACAAAAGCACAATTAGGGGAACAATCATCCAATAGCGTCCAAACACAAAAAACAGCGAGAAGTACTATCCACCTATCTACTCAAAGAAATTAGATCCCTAGAAGAAACACACAAAAGAAACCCCACCCTATCCATATACACACAGCTACTAGAGAAAAGAACGGAACTGAATTCCATACTTAACATCCGCACCAAATATGCCTTAGCTAAAACAAGAAGCCTTTATTTATGATCCTCCCAATATTCATTCAAGCACAGGAGAAAGCTGCGTTTCAACAGGACCACCAATTCACATGGGCCACACACAGCATAAAATATTTAGGGACATCACCAGGGACCTCACCCAATTATTTGAGAGAAACTTTCCCAACCTATTAAAAGCCATAACCTCACAACCTGGAACAAGCCACACTTCGGATGGTTTTCCAGGATGAACATCCTTAAGATGAACATCCTACCCAGAATTCTTTACATGATACAAGTGCTCCCCATAACAATTCCCAAGTCCTGGTTCTCGGCAGTGCGTAAAACACTCAAAACATACATCTGGGCTCACAAAAATCCGTGACTGCCCTATACCCTTCTCACAAGGCTGAGGGATAGAGGAGGTTTGGGGTTACCGGACACTGAAATGTATTACAAAGCAATACTCCTCACTAGAATATATGACTGGTCACACCCACAATCTGAGAAACAATGGGTAAATCTAGAAAGTACCTTTTTTCAAGCACCAATCTACACGATACCCTGGCACAAGTCAGGGCAGATACTAACGCTACACAACCCACACCCTACAATCACCCCAACCTTACGCATGTGGGCAACTCTACGAACAGGTATCACCATATCCGTCACCACTATACCCAATCACACATAACCCCCTATTTCAACCAGGGGCAGAGGGCAAGTCGTTTCAATCCTTCCACAAGACAACATACCTTACCCTGGGTAACACCATAGAAACCACAGGGACACGATCAATTAAACCTATACACGCATTTATGAAATCTCCCACGGCAATACTTCATTCAATCAGGACCCCTAGCCCATAGCACTAGCCGGGACCAAACTAATTTGGAAAAACACTGCTCCCTCCAATCCATAGACAAAACTCATCTCGATAATGTATTCCCTTATTCTATCCACAAGACCCCAACAACAGCCAGATTTCGCCACTACTTGTGTATATAGAAATATCGCCAGACAAATGGCAAAAAAAATTTAGGCAAATCCACAAATCCTCAAAAAATACGATAGCACAGGAAAGTAACTATAAAAGAATAGTGAGATGGCACTACACCCCATCAAAACTTCACTCCCTATTCCCCACAACTTCCAACAAATGCTGGTGATGCCACTCAGCCATAGGCACCACAACACACATATGGTGGTCATGCCCTGAGATACAAAAATTTTGGACACGCATCTCAGGCATGATCCACGCTATACTTAAGATACCCGTTCCTCTAGATCCAATCACCTACCTATTCCTTCTGCCTCCACAAGGCACACTGAAACATGCAACAGCCCTATTACTGCACCTTATAATGGAAGCAAACCAACTCATACCAGACTTCTGGAAACAACCAAATCCCCCTACCATACGCGAATGGCTACAAAAAGTAGAAAATACCAGAAGTCTAGAGGAAACCTCTTACTCTCACTCATACCAATACCAACAATACACAGAGATCTGGTACCTGTGGACCCAATACCTCCACAAGACCACATAACAAAATGTGGCCACCCACATACACATCCAACAGTGAACATCTCTCTCTGCATTCTCCTCCCCCATTAGGTCACCCCCCCTTATTAGTATTAAGGGCCCCCACCTCAGGGGTGGGGGCCAGGGGAGAGGACATTAGGTCCCCCCCTTATTCTAATTTAGGGCCCCCATCCACTGCTCAGGGGTGGGCAGCCAGGGGGCGAGGACATTAGGTCCCCCCCTTATTAGTATTTAGGGCCCCCACCTGCCGCTCAGGGGTGGGGAGCAGGGGGAGGACATTAGGTCCCTCACTTATTAGTATTTAGGGCCCCCACCCACTGCTCAGGGGTGGGGCAAGGGGGTGGGACATTAGGTCCCCTGAGCGGTGGGTGGGGGCCCTTAATACTAATAAGGGGGGGTGACCTAATGGGGGAGGAGAATGCGG